GCCCTATTGATCAAATCAAAAACACTGACAAGCAAATACGATTGAACTCATAATGTAATTATTATAAAAATAAAAATATATATTTAATTTATTAATTTTAAGAATCAGTATCACAGACAAGCAAACAGAACACTCAAGGTGAGCCAGCACAAAGTGTAAAAACATTGAAATAAAATATAACCTCTTCATATGACTAGCAGATGTGATTGGTCAATACTCATCACATGTTCATCAAAATCCTCTACGATTGATCAATAAATGCAAAAACTAAAATATGTCATCAAGAAAAGATAGATCAGGTCCTGCCATTTTCTGTTTTTTTGGAGTAGTTGGAGACATCTCTTCAATTTGCTCAGAGTTTGGAATGATGATATTCATATTACTGCTACGATGAGATTTGTTCACAATTCCACCAGTCTCGCTAAAGAAAATGAAAACAATAAATTAGTTACTGTTAACTAAATGCATCTTTGAATTGCAACACTCCAACGACATCAAGTAAATGGAAAATAAGTGATCTCCAGTTCAATATTTTTTGTCCAATGATTTATAAGAATGTTGCTTATTCAGAACTGACATAAAACAATTTAGTGTTGTCGCCATAGTAACTATAATGGAAGTAGCAGTAGCAGAATGAGTTTGACAAAATCCAGTCATAAAAGTTGATAGTACCTTTCACTGTCCAATAGCTGGCAATCTTTTGATGGTCTATGTTTGTATGCTGCACTAACACAAGTTACGATTGGATTATTTTCTGCATCACTGTCTTTTGTAAGATCAGTTGTGGTTGGTTTATCTCTGCTCACAAGACCATCACTTTCTTTCATCATAGTATCTACTGTATTTTGGTGAGCAACTGGATGAGCTTCTCTAGCAATCTTGAGAGCATTTTGATCTGCTTGCTCAGTTTGTCTGGACTTCTCCGAAGTCATAGCATTCTGTAAAATAAATAGCCATTTACTACTCTTAATAGTAATAAGCATGACAATAAAATCAACCACATCACTGCCCAATGCTGAAAATAACAGTCTGTATTACTGGTAATATACATATTTATCCCTTGGATCATGCATGTTTCATGTGGTAATCATTTGATATTTTTGATATCACAACCTTGATATAAATGGGCTATTGATGACCTAAAAATTGTGACATCATTTCCAAAGATACCAAAACATGGTTTAATTGCAATTTTTTTGTTTGAAATATGGTAAATATTAATGTTTTCGATACTTCCCAGTAATCTACAACATTCACAAACATGGGTTTTGCTTGTGATGATATTGAATTATATACACGTAGTAATTTTCATGTTCCACAACAGTGGCTCAGAAGATATGAAAATTATTTCACCCATTTGATAAATCCGATATCACATGGTCATTTATTGGAGATCCTATATTGAAGATTATTAATATTTAATTTCAGGAAGCAAAAAACTATGAATAAATTATTATTCATCCCACCTCTTGTAGTATGATTCTGGCTGCATTGACCAATTCTAGCTCATTCATGCAATAGAGAGTCATTGGCTGAGAATACATGCGTGATAACTTTCTTGGACTGAAACAAATACAGACAAAAACAAGTTACCATATTTGTTCTATTAGAAGTGCATCTCCAATAAACAGTCTATCACTATAATATGAATTCTTTTGAACATAGCATGGGTTTTGTCATTTATGTATATGCGTCACTAATAGAAAAATATTGTGTTGCTCTCCTTAACAGATTCTACAGTTAACTTTTAGAAAATATATAGTTTATGGATTTTGCAAGATTCAACTACACGTACAGTTTATGTTCAATTTCACGCACATATTATATTGCACATTACGTAATTACAACAAAAACCAAAATTAGACAATTGTAGTTTAGCACAGTATGTTTTTAATATTTTAAAATAAATTTAGTTTGTTGACTTTTAGCAACCATGTATTGTGAGCATTGAAAATCCTATTCTAGTTACCTGTTGTAAAAGGATGCAATTATCTGAACTAAAATTTCCACTGAAACAAATTATTTATTTGCAAATAGAGCAAATACAATATCAAACAAACAAGACATGAATGTCCCCGTCATTTAATTATCAAATGACCCACTTAGGATTTTCAGATTTGGAAAAAAAAAAAGTATGTGCATATTCAACAGAGACTTGTCATCAACCTGTTTCATTGATATCTGCTGCAAATTTCTGTAAAAGAAAGTGAACGGACGGAAAGCAGAAATTTGAAACTATAGTCCGCCTAAGTGTTTCATTGATTAATAGTAAAATTCCATGAAAGTGAAATCATTAGTTGGGGAAAGAAATTGTCAGTATACTGATTACTGTAGTAGAACATTCAGGATTTAAGGTTTCTGCAGTATTTTCAATACAGAATTCAGATGAAGACTAACAAGGACAGTTGAAAAAGCTCACACCACCAAACAAGAGATAAGTATAAATAGCTCTACTCTGCCAACTTTGTCAAAAACATTCTTGAAAAGTATGATCAGCTTCAATGAAATATACTGAACAGATATATAAATTAAATGAAGTACTGCTAAAAAATATGTCACCTGGTTGACGATGCACTGTTACCTTGGTCCATGGGTAGCTCACTTATCCCATCATGCTCTATGGCATTAGCACCTAGCTGACACTGTTCTTTACTTTTAGGCAATAACCACTTTGGTATTGACCTGACACTTTCCTTGGTGGTAATGTTCAGTGTTTTTTCTGGTACCTGACATCTCTGTCTCAGTGAATCAAATCTACTGCCTACTTCAGTGATAGGTGTAGCATACCTACAGTACTGTTCATTGTATTTTTGTAAAGCGTCTTTATCTTTGAAACAAATACCATGGCAACGGCCTCCATCACAGTGTGTCTGGTAAAAGTTCTCCTTTGCCATGGCGCCATCCTGATAAAGAGGAACAGTTATGACCTCATCTGATACATCTATATTTGGGGCGAACTTGGCAGTTTTTAGAATTTCCAGCTCAGAGGTTTTATTGGCACAGTTTGAGGCAGTGATGATATTAGGATGTGAAAAAACATCTCTGGCTTTCATGTGATTGACACCGGCAGAGATTGCACACTGTATATGTCTGGATGTGAATGTCAAATACAAAGTCCCAGGATGGTTTAATTGCAGATGATGCATTCTCTGTAACCATGCAACCAATCCAGGCTGAGGTGGAACTGCAAAATTTCCACACTCTGTGGAGTCATCAACACAACAAAAATAAACAGGAAAATCAAGGAAGTCAGCACATAGTTTTGATAATACCTGTTTCATTCTGTTCTCAGATGGTGAATCAGAAATAAAATCTGTCAAAAAAAACAAAAAAACAAAAAGATAATTCTATTAGAAATAAATCTCCAATAACGTATCACTATTGTATATAGCATTACATCATGAGATTTATTATTCATCATGATGTATGATTCAAATAAATGATTAAACAAATCTAAAATAGTAACAGACATATACTGTGGCATTGAAATAATATCTAAAAGGCTTCATTCAGGTAAAACACTTTAGATTGAAATTGTCATTAGTATTTGCACATGTTTTCCAGTGTTCTATGGGTAAGTCAGTTCTGCTGAACAGTATTATATGGGTAAGTCAGTTCTGCTGAACAGTGTTATATGGGTAAGTCAGTTCTGCTGAACAGTGTTCTATGGGTAAGTCAGTTCTGCTGAACAGTGTTATATGGGTAAGTCAGTTCTGCTGAACAGTGTTCTATTGGTATGTCAGTTCTGCTGAACAGTGTTCTATTGGTATGTCAGTTCTGCTGAACAGTGTTATATGGGTAAGTCAGTTCTGTTGAACAGTGTTCTATTGGTATGTCAGTTCTGCTGAACAGTGTTCTATTGGTATGTCAGTTCTGCTGAACAGTGTTCTATTGGTATATCAGTTCTGCTGAACAGTGTTCTATTGGTATGTCAGTTCTGCTGAACAGTGTTCTATTGGTATGTCAGTTCTGCTGAACAGTGTTCTATTGGTATGTCAGTCCTGCTGACCAGTGTTCTATTGGTATGTCAGTTCTGCTGAAGAGTGTTCTATGGCTATGTCAGCCCTGCTGAACAGTGTTCTATGGCTATGTCAGCCCTGCTGAACAGTGTTCTATGGCTATGTCAGTTCTGCTGAACAGTGTTCTATGGGTATGTCAGTTCTGCTGGAGTGTGTTTTATGGTTATGTCAGTTCTGCTGAACAGTGTTATATGGGTAAGTCAGTTCTGATGAACAGTGTTCTATTGGTATGTCAGTTCTGATGAACAGTGTTCTATTGGTATGTCAGTTCTGCTGAACAGTGTTCTATTGGTATGTCAGTTCTGCTGAACAGTGTTCTATTGGTATGTCTGTACTGCTGAACAGTGTTCAATTGGTATGTCAGTTCTGCTGAACAGTGTTTTATTGGTATGTCAGTCCTGTTGAACAGTGTTCTATGGTTATGTCAGTTCTGCTGAACAATGTTCTATGGTTATGTCAGTTCTGCTGAAGAGTGTTCTATTGGTATGTCAGTTCTGCTGAACAGTGTTCTATTGGCAAGTCAGTCCTGCTGAACAGTGTTCTATTGGTAATGTCAGTTCTGCTGAACAGTGTTCTATGACTATGTCAGTTCTGCTCAACAGTGTTCCATGGATATATCAGTTCTTCTGAACAGTGTTCTATGGTTATGTCAGTTCTGCTGAACAGTGTTATATGGGTAAGTCAGTTCTGCTGAACAGTGTTCTATGGCTATGTCAGTTCTGCTGAACAGTGTTCTATGAGTAAGTTAGTTCTGCTGAACAGTGTTCTATGAGTAAGTCAGTTCTGCTGAACAGTGATCTATTGGTATGTCAGTTCTGCTGAACAGTGTTCTATGACTAAGTCAGTTCTATTGAACAGTGTCATATGGGTAAGTCAGTTCTGCTGAACAGTGTTCTATGAGTATGTCAGTTCTGCTGAACATTGTTCTATGAGTATGTGTTCGATTGGTATGTCAGTTCTGCTGAACAGTGTTCTATGGCTATGTCAGTTCTGCTGAACAGTGTTCTATGACTATGTCAGTCCTGCTGAACAAAGTGTTATATTGGTATGTCAGTTCTGCTGAACAGTGTTCTATTGGTATGTCAGTTCTGCTTAACAGTGTTCTATTGGTAAGTCAGTTGTGCTGAACAGTGTTCTATTGGTATGTCAGTTCTGCTGAACGGTGTTCTATTGGTATGTC